TATTTCTGTGCTCCTGCTTCGAATTTCTTCTGCCACTCGCTTGTTATTCTTTTTTCAGGTTTACCCAGCCAGTCCTTCATCCACACGAAGTCCTATAAATAAATAAATGTTTTATTCTCGCGTTAAAAAGATTTTAACACGAGAGAAGTCAGTTTACACGCATCATCACGTTGATACATCTCAAAATATCCACAAGACTTGACCCCTGAGTGTTACTGACGGAATGTCATTAAACTCAATTAAAAACTGCCGAAGGTCCTGCTAGTTATGAAATCAACAGGAAAATATTACTTTACAGAGTACACAGAGTGTTAAAGTTTAGATAATAATAAATATTGTCTTCATTTAACGGGTTTAACATGAAGGATACCAGTTCACAAGCACCTTCAAATTCATAACTTTTGAAAGTTTACCAGCTGGTGTCTAGTATTAAATAATTTACATATCAAGTCATTAGTGTGCGCAATCTTGTTAAAATTGACTGAAATTCATGAGACGGATGTGGATTTCCATCTCCCACCTCATAGACAGGTTCCATTATCCATATCAAAAGCGCTCAGTGTTCAAAGTTTGCGTTATAACCAACCCACGTTGTTAGTCCATTAGCATAGTTTGCTAATTAGTAATGTAACGGTTTATTACTCAGAGTGATCTTCAGTTTTTAGCTTTGCTAACCACAAAGGACCCGCTTACACAATCTGGAGTATCAATAGAGTATCCACAGTCATATAACCAACGTGTATGGCTATATCAATGCATCTCAAGGTCCCCATGTTACGTTTAAAAGTAATATAGATTAATTCTGCTGGGAATACTTGTTGTATCGGACGATAATAGATGTTGAAACAGTCAATAGTCCAAGTGGCAGTACTTATACATAGACTTCGGGTATCTTTTGTATTAGAGTAGGCGGCATCGTTCGAGAAGAGTATTTGATGCGTAGTAAGTTTCATATGAAAAGGTCCCTTGGCACAGAGTACTAGAAAATGTGTAGTGTGGAGCCATTGCAGGTTAGTGACGTCCTGAGCCAATATGTTAATTGGTCTCTGGTTCAATCATCTGTTCAGAATGTCTCTGCTTCTAATACTGTTGGGAATGGTCAGACGGTTCGTCGCAAGAAAAATCATGACCAGTAGGTGAGCTAATCTTGAAGATGGTCCAGAATTTGCGGAGGAGTGGGAGCAGTCCAGTAATTATTGGCGTCAATGAGCAGGTGTTATTCCCATAAAGTAATCATGTTCAGACTGAATTTGAACACCAATTGTCGACTTGCAGCTGTTTCTGCAAATGGGGAAGGAAAGAAGAGGCACGAGCAGATATGGAAAGAGAGACCACTACGCTATAGAATTTGGAGAAGAGAGAATTCTCAATTCTTTTTTTAATTATTCGGGCTTTATGCACATTTTCCTGTATATATGTGAAGTCAACTACATAGTCCTTCCATTTTTAAGGTTCTTAAGTCTTTTTGGGGGGTGTGCCGTAGTGGCTTTGAGAGGTGAACAGTATTCTTCAAATTCATTATACGAAGAGGAGCCAGTATTCATACCCTTGTATGCAGTCGTAAGGCCGTGTGCATTACAGGAACTGCAGGGCTTCAATAAAACCGATTCTTACAATTGGAGGTCTGAGTACGTTCACAGTGGACGCAATGGCTTGACCATTGTTATGTGCCGATTGCTCCATTATGCTTCTTATATGTGAATATAATATGAATGTCAAGTAATTTAATTTGTCAACATGCACTATGCCATCAAAACCCTATGAAGAACGCATGGAATTTAGGGTCACGGCTGTACTACCCACCCTTCCTTCAAGAATATTGGAAGATTCAAACAATAGCCGAATAATTCCTACTTTCGAACTGAGCTTGCTTCAGGATGATTAACAACCATGCTGATGTTTATCTGTTTCATTTTTTGCTGTCTACAAAGCGCTGACTTTTTTCTGTCGGCGCATCTTTTATGTGCCAGGAAAAACGGTGTCTATTGTTTAGCTTGACATTGTACACAACAGTCAGTTCACATTACCAAAATGATCGAACCTGTAAACTGGTTTGTTTTCATGTAATTTGTGTTGTGTGAAATATGTTATCTATTATTTATTGTAGCTGTTGTCAGGACACCGAGCCTGAAACCCAGTAGCAAATGGTTTGAATCAGGCTGTGGTCCAAATTTTCACCTCGCATTCGTCATATTTAAGTCCAGAACAGTAGGTTAATAACTTTTAAAAGTTCACAGAAATACCTTATACCGTTTAAGGCAGCATTTAGACAATTAAAACAAAGTGAAACAGAGTGAACTCGATGTAATATATGGGATGGAAAACCTTGGTAGACTACACGTTTAAGCAGCCAGTTGACAGTGCGATGCCAAGAATGCAGTTGTTCTGCCCGCAGTTATAATATACAGCAAGATTATCAGTCTTTGATGTGAATGGGTGCAAGAGTGCATGGAACTCGTGGACAGTAAAAAAACAAGCTGTATGCATGTATTCATTTAAAAACTCTTCACCACTATTATTGGGCGGAGTGCCAGGAACCCAGCAACGAGAGTGCTATCTGGATAGATAGATAGTAGACGTAAGGCTCAGCTGCAAACCTGGTTTCGGTAAATGCAAAGATAACACTTCCGTTTACCCACCGCGTCATCCCGTGCATACTTATCCTGATGACATGTTTCATTTTGTCAGCATGAAACCGTTATACCTTCAGGTGACTGGATAGGTGAGTATTGATGTTGGCCGCCAAAAGCAAAGATATGATTTACATAAAAACGTATTCTTACCTGTAAAAATGGTGTGTGCTTGTACATTCAGGAATAAATGTTGTTATTATCTTTGGTGTCGGCACTGCTGCTAACCTACCGATGTAAGGCTAAAAACTTTGGCGTTGCGGTACAGTGATATTTCCCATTGGATTGTTTATTCACTAGAAATTAATGTGACGCCGGATTACATAAGCACTGGATATCCTTTTGACGTGCACCAGTGATAGGCACAATTATATTCAGCAACCTAATAGCACTATTGTGACCAATTTATCGGCGTTAAGTTTCCAACCTGTCTTTCATGGCTAACAAAAATGCGCGTTTGCCTCATGAAGTGAGGACGATCGGACAGATTCTCACCTAAAGACTGCTCCTCATTCATGGACGACTGAAATATTTCCCCCCAGAACATTACAATACTGATGACATGATCTTCAACAAATTTGTCGGTATCCAAACTCTTTTGAGATCTCATGGTTTGAAAAAACTTGGGCATTGGATACATTAAATCCGTTATTTTGGCACTTGTATTTCCCGGTGAATGCGAGACCAAACAAATTTGTTTCAACAGACAATTTTGTTTTGTCAACATTTACTTGGAAATATATATGCCGAAGTAATGATCTTCGACAAACGTGATAACGACCAGACATGTTCTCAGCAATGTCATACACATCTTTATCAACCCTTACTTATGCGGCCGTCGTCATGCTACCTCATCCTCGACCCAAACATCATTGAAGTTAACCAGATACCGAATTCTGATTCACAAATGATCATAGGGAAATGTCCAGGAGCGACTCACCTAATTCAAGCGAGAACAAAAGTTTCTAACTTCACCAGAAGCTTACCACTTTAAGCACCAGATACTTGGGCATAGAATGCCAAAATATGTGGCAATCTGCATTTCAACCCGGCAAATATAGGAACATGGCCATTCTCAGCGGTTCACTAAGCAAAACCAGCAGTTCACAGGCTTGATTTGTGCTGCCCTGCTGCTCACCGCGCAGTCTGTGAATGAGCGTTGATGAAACTCGCGAAAAACTTTCTTCCGAACGGCCCAAACCTTCTTCCAGGTGCGTTCTGTTCAAAACATTGACGAGGACCTCATATCATTGAGATTCCAATCTGTGGAGTTATGGAGTATCTGGGTAGCATAATGCTTGCAAAAGGAAATTGTGTCCAACTTGGAGTCTGAGGAATTTATGAAAGCTACCCTCAGCAAAGGTGAAACAAAATATCACCTGCTTATGTTAGAAAAGAAGGAAAAAGGCTATGAGATAAAGGTGAGTCTTGGTACTCTGAAAATTCGAACATTTCTTCATTGCTCAGATTTGAATTTTTAATCATATTTTACATGATTAGTTATAAGGGCAGCCAGAGAAAGCATAAAAGAGATTGAATGGCACCGAAGGCTCTGTGTAAGAACATTTTTCACCTTTTAATCACTTCTAAGGATAGGCTGATTAGCTGGCAGTAGTTTTTAATGTTGACTCTTCGTACATACACTTTCATTGACTGGTGTTCTTGATAATAATTGCTAAGAAGTGCCGACATTTTGGGGAGAGTTTTGCAGCCTGTCAGAAGGGCCTATAAAAGCACGATCCATATGCATCTGCGACAGTAATAAAAGCCAGAACGGGTCGTTTTATATAATTTGTGACAAACACAAAAGGATTCAAAGCATGACACTAGTAGGCAAAAAATACACTTGGCTGTACTTAACTGCCATGACCTCCCCTGTGGCACTGTCCCCTTCCTGCACTCTACAACTTAAAACTTTTCACCTGAGTTCTTCATGTCACTGTTTTCTTTCTAGTCTTCGCTGAAATCATACTAATTTTCCCCTTCATTTTACTTTTCTGCCCTGTATTCTCACATTTCTCTCATTTGCTTTTTCGATTCTCTTTATCTTCTTTTATGACCAACTCAAACAACCGTCTAGTGACACTGTATTTGAGGCAACTATGTACACCCGTGTCTCACGATAAGCCATAAATTTCTCTGCAAATTTACAAGCAGCCAACTGTCTATCGTGTTCACCGGGGCTAGCAGTGTGCTAGCGGTTGGATATAATGCATCGAAATTTACTAAGAATTTGGAACCTGTTCGTCAGCACTCAAAAGCCAAAGTGAGGAAACCATTTAGTTTCTACGTTTGATCATTGAGAAACAAGTGTTGAATATTGAATACACTTTTTTGTTTTTACACGTCAAAATGTATTTTGCAGAGTCGGAAACTTTTCGTATTCTTATGTTAGATTTCGAGAACCATGGCCCGAGATTTGATAAACAAACAAATCGAACCATCTTTTCAAATTTTTGAGCGACTGAAAAATTGGGCATCAGAATCGAAGGTAATACATGGTTGTCTTAAAGCTTTGGTTTAGAGTAAAAAACTAATCGAGAATACAACTATATGCTGTGAGTTAATTGAAGCTAACGCTAGTTTGCAGCATGAGCTGTTCAAGATTTTAAGATTATTTGTATCACAAGGTGAGTAAATTTTACCGTTAAATTTTCAAGAGTTCAGAAGCATTGAGTTACTCTGTCGCTTAAAGCAATTTAGGTAGCCTGCATTTTTTAATTTGATATCCTAGGCTTGGACAGTGATGTTCCCAATGATAAAAGAATAGTAACATCATTTTAATACTTGTTCATAGTCGAGTTAGACTATATCTGTGGTATAACCAAGTTGTGCTCATGAACTATTGCTGTCATTGAGTCCACTATTCCTGACCTTATGTGATCTTGGAACTGGAGAGCTCAGCTTTGTAATCGTCAAGGTTGAGGATGTACCAAGAGCTAGCAATTGTAGCAGCATTTACTATGTCTTTTAGAGAACATTTATACGCCTGTGCATTCAAACTGAGTGAACAGTCCTAGCCTGCACTTACTTTAGTTGCTTTTTGGAAAATTTTGGCAAACACCCTAAATAAAGAATTAAGGTGCACCTCTTGGTGCGCGATGTCTTCCTAAGAAATCAAAAGTTATTTTGCCTGTCCAAAGTGCATGAGTTTGCCCAAAGATCTCTGGAAAAGTCACCTGAAAGAGATCATTCACAAGTAGACCACATCGTGTATAATTTCACTAGAGGAAATTTAGTTTTCTCCTTATATGCCTCTTTCCAAGCACACAGCGCGTGCCAAAATCTTTTACTTGTCAGGAGCCAGTATTGGATAAGAAGACGTATTTATCATTTTAACGGTAAAAAATTGACATGTATGCGAAACTATATCCCAGATGTGTGAATGATTTGCTCCATCTCCAGTCGGTTCTCCGTAGAACTCCACAACCGTTTTATCTTACTAGTGCTGAACACTGTGTAAACTTCCTCTTTGCCTCCTACCCTTTTGTTATCGGTAACTTACGGGAATCACAATATCACACATAATGTTCTTTCTGGTTTTCCTCACTTCGAGATGAGGAGTAATAAATAACATTCGCTTTACATTTGATAAACTGGATAAACTGATGAAGCTTATTTTGTGTTCTGGAAAGCTAGCTGGGATTCATCAGTGAAATTGAATTTTTCTGGTTGCCTTAAATGAAATTCATCAGCAGTTGTAGGTTTGATACACACAGAGGAATGAAACGTCGATACACATCAAACATATCAAGGAACCTTTGTATTTACTGAATGTGGTTCACAATAGTGTCTAGGTGTTTAACTTTTGTCATTTTAATGTTTTTTTTACCTTGAAAGTCGATATGATGTTCCAAAAATCCGAGGATAAAACTCTAAAGATACATTAACTAGGATCGACTACCACTCTGTACTATCGAAAATCTCCAAACAGGGTAAAACGGTGTTAGGCATGTCTCTATGATTTAGCAATGGTTGTCAGAATATCATCGAGTAACCTGGTTAATTAATAACTGGAAAGTCTGTGCTGCGTTTTCAAGTCTGAAAGGCATCCGGCAATAACCAAACAGACCAAAAGCTGTTGTGGTAACTGTTTTCTCAATGTCTTGTGGAGCTGCTAGAATTTGATGATGTGTGGATCAAATCCATCTTGGAGAAAACAGCTTTCCTTGTAGTGTGAGCAAAAAACCATGTAGGTGTAGGATAATATAGTAATAAGAAATCGTTGGGTTATTTAGGGCATCTTGGTACCCCAACAATGTCAGCAGTCACCCATTTACACGACCATGTGTGGTAGGAAAAACCTATGAAATAGACGTTATTATGATGCCTAACTGTGTCATGTGTTCAAACTCAGATTTTGCGGCAGACAGTTTATCAGGTAGTAGTCGATGCGAGCCTGTGTGGAAAGGTTGTCTTTCAGTGCTGTATGGTTCACAGTGTGTAAGACATCTTGGGTTTCATAATGATACTCCAAAATCTCAGGAGACGTTTGGAGTGAGCGTGTACATTTATTGTTTCTAGGTTCAGCTTTGCATAAACTGTGGCTGTAACAGTCTGATATTATAGATTGTCTGTAGTTCAGTATGTGTATCGACCAGCTTCTGATTGTTAAGATCAATTAACGACTTGCAAGTGCTCAAGAAACCTGCTATAATATGGCATCAAAACACCTAGAACAATAACTATCCATGTAAATCGTCAACATGGGTTACGATCCGAAATTGCTGACTGTTCCCTGAATGTCCGAATGTGTCGCGGTCGCTTATTGGAGAGACAACTTACCTGCTATATTCGTTATTTGTGTTGGCGGGGAGTGAGGAATGAAGTTGAATTTGACTTCTGTTTCAACCAAAAATTGCTATCTGGAAGTCTTATTCACTACGTAAAATAGGTGACTGGAGTGTTTTCCTGTAACAGGAATCTCCGTTACTGTCTAGCTGGAGAGTTAACCCGTGTCTTACATACGTCTTACTCAGATAGAAATGATGTAGTGCATCGACTGGCTTAATGAACAAGCTCCCGAGAATACCAGCAAATATCTTGTGAGGCTACAGTATGCATGACTGTTCCCTGTTGTATGGACACCTACGATACACAAATCTCAGACTACGAACATAAATGTTGGAGGTAATAGTCTCTAACACTTCTAATCAAGAATTCAGTACAGCCAACTGTGATTTCAAGCTAGGCAAGCTTAGGGGGTCCACATGGGTGCTGCTAGGCATGGGCTGTGTTCAAGGTATGTTTCAGATGCAGAAGAAACGACTGTATGAGTACGTCTTTACCGCTTTTTCTGCCGTATTAGCCAAAACCTGCAACTTGTTGTTTTTGAAGGATAAAATCAATACCTAGCGTACGTCATGGGGTAATCATTGTAAACACATTTATTTCCAAACTGTCTCATACATGTTCCATGATCCTACTAGCTAACTCATGCATTTTAGAGGCTGTGAAGGCTTCCCGCCACTAAATTCGCGGACGATCAGCAGCTGCTACAGGATTTTTAACTTGAGACTGATTTTCACCATACCTTCTTTCAGATCACTAACCTCCGTGGCAAAGTCTCTGGGTAGGGCTTCAATAACGCAGGGATACTTAGATACCTGGGTTGTAAGCCACGATTGAAGCATACCAAATATGTGAGTTATCCTGACCAAATGGAGGAAGACGTAGGCTGGAAATAGCACCTAGTGTGAGCGTCCAGTTTTCGTCTTCTAATGAGTCATTAAATGGATTTAATGATGCATAACTTGATGAACTGTCGACAGTGTCAGGAGAAGTGATAAAAGTTTAAATCAAATACCAAAAGTATACCAACAATTAGTCCGTAGATTAGTTGATACTAAAAAGGTAGATGTCAAGAATTACTGAAAAACTCCAATAAGCGAATTCAGTTATTAGGCTAACAACTAAATTTTTGGCGAGCCAAAAAGGCTTTAAACCTAGCAAACTATTATAGCTTATTATGAATACATAGAAATAATGCGTTGGCTTAAGAAGATGAACAATTAAGCTTTACATTAGAATTTCAACAAAAAAAGGTAAAAAAAGGATTGATTACTCATATGTTATAGTTTTGTCGCGAATATCATAATTTTAGTTAACTCCGAAGTACCAATAGAAGACAGATTTTGGTGATTACTGCAGGTGTGGTATTGACCGACTTGAGTGACGTACATTTTGGAACTGAGAAGGCTTCTGATATTAATGATGGATAGTGGCTAGCAGTGGAATCCAAAACATTCTTTTCATCCTGTTTAGAACTCATTGGCTGGATGTACCTGCCTCCCAGTGAGTTATGTTGTTCCAACCTTTGAAACCAATGACTAGGATGGATTTATCTTTTAAGACTGCAAGGGAGCCGATCAATAACTAAACCGAACAGTGGCTCGCGAGAAAGAAACATTAAGTAATCAGAAGCACGTTACATTTCAACTCTAAAAACAGTTCAGGTTTTATTCTTAGGAAAATGAGTTGTATAGATAAATACATTTGTTTTTACAAGTGTTACAGAAAATGTAAAAAACGACGAAAGCGACATTAAGAAACGTTGTTTTGAACTGAGTGGTTTGTAAAAAGCAGTTACACAGTCTTGACAGGTCTCTCATGGTTATGGCATGATTGTACTGCATGTGTACTGGATATTTGTACGAAGAGATTACTTATGATAACTTTTTTTGATGGTTATATGAAACATCTTGACTAGTATCTGCTACTTAGTAGTGGGCATTTTCTCCTGTTCAACAAAATTCTGTTACTATGAATAATTCTCAACGAAATGTAATCCTAAAATGATGTGCATCGTTAGCAAAATGACTTAGATTTCCACATACTCAGGTTGTTTTGGAGATATTCAAGTTGTGGTATTCGACTGATTGACGTTTTTAATAACTTCTTTGCCGGACTGATAGCGACCTGGCTTCATGCTTAGCCAATTGAGAAGTGTTTATGAATTTAAGGCATAATAACTTGTAGGATTCCCAGATTTTAAAATTTCTTAAGTTCACTAGTCATTAAGATTGGAAGGCCCATCATCACATGTAAATTCAGCTTTAAACACTAGTGCTTCTTGATTTCTTCATAGAGTTTTAATTTGGTTCTGAAACAGCTGGAACACACTAAACAATATCCTGGGACCATTTAAAATAAACCTGGCTACTGTTGGAGTTTTGGTGAGAGATACTGAAAGGTTTGGTTTTTCAGTTTAAATAAGTCTTTATAGGGATTGTAATGTGAACGGAGAGTATGAAGTATTTGCCAGAACTTTTTAAAAATTGTGACAGATTTCTTTTGGCACTAAGAAATTGGCAAGTACTGGGAAACCTTACTTAGATGGGTGGAAATTTAATATAATAATCATACAACTTACTACTACCTTTCTAATAACTTTGCTGAATCGTCTTTAAATTAGACTTTGACTGCTTGAGTTTCTACACCGAAGAGAAGTATATATATATATATATATATATATATATATATATATATATATATATATATATATATATATATATATATATATATATATATATATATAAACAGGGTTTTAGTTAGTTTTACTGGGAAAAGATTGAAAATACTCTGAACTGACAGCAAGACAAACTATTTGGTGTAGAAACTCAAACAATTC